TTTAGTCTATGTCAGTGTGCTTTGACTGGCTAAATCATATGATCTGGAATGCTAATAGACATCTCTACATACGATTCTTGAAGGACTGGATAAAATCGTTAGGAAAAATGGGAGATCTCGACAAGCTGCCAGCTTGTTGTCCCCATCAAGGCCACAAGAGATGGTGATCCTCAGGTTAATAATGGTTGTGGCAAGACCTACATGTGTTTGGTGTTATATGAAACCTAAATATACTGAATGAATAACATGCATACCTTTGTTGCTTGATAAATCCTGTTCCAAACCAGGATTTATCAAGCACCTAGTTTCCACTTACAAAATTTGTATAGCTTTTCTCAGTCATGGCAGCTTGCTTTGTACTTGTATGAACAATTCATGAGCTCTGAAGTGCCATAAGATTGTCTATAACTTGATTAAACAACCTTGGGTCGAGAACAACCTCACAGCATTTCAAAGCTCATAAACTGTTTAGCAAACACAGCTTTAGACACCATGATCAAGGAAAGATGTACAGGTGTCATAAGTGCACACACAAATGCTTGATGAATCCTGGCCCAGGTGTCCTTTTTCTTTTAAAAAATACTTAGTGGCCACAATGATGAACACCTGATTTACCCAAGGGCCATTAACCCTACTGGCCTCGACAAGGACAGGAAGCAGGCGGCTTCAGCAGGTAGGCAGTTCCATATTTTATATGGAACCGTCTACCATATTTTATATTCAAATATTCCATATTTTATATTCACCGACAGGGTTTATAACCCTGTGAGTGAGAGGGTTTATAACTCCTGTTCTCAGTTCTACATTACTTTACCTACATTAATTCCTCCCTTGCAGATTTCTAAAGGAATATGATGAGAAAACAAACTACAGTAGAAACCACTTCATATGCAGGAAGACAAAAAATCCATCTCCCCCATGTCGCCAAACTTGTCAACAAGTCAAGTGGAGAGTGAGCCTTGATGAGTACCCCCACAAATATTACCCAGCTTACTGCTATGGTCCTGGCTATATTATCCCAAGGTAATGTCCATGCTACAGGGACACTACATACTCCAAACCAATTCTTTATATTTCTCTTTTACAACCGAATTGTGGCCTGAAAAAGCTAAATCAGGAATGTGCATATTGATAAATGGATAATTATAATCATGCATTATCCTCTATGTTACAGTGTATGCGCAATTACTGACAGCAAACTTCTTTTTGCTACACCCAGCAAGTATCTTTTTAAAACTAGATATGATAGGGAAATATGACCGGAGTCACTGCTGTAAACAGCCAATGGCTAGAATGGCAGGATCCAAGAGTCAATGCTCGATCCTGCAGGCACAAATAGGTGCGGACACTAACGGTGTGTAAACTACATGCATCTTATTCTTATTTTTTAATTGCTGGTTTTAGGATTTTTAGCAAAGAATGTGATATACTCCCACAGAAAGAAGTCACAAGTGCAAAACTGCAGGAACCTAGGAAGCCACAGGATGGGGCCTAGTCATCTATCCCAGGGGATCTGAAAACTTTATCTTACCAAGAACCCCCCCCCCCCCCCCAAGTACAATGAGCCTTAGCCTAGTATCCCAAACTAAAAATTATTTTCCCACACTTCATGTGTGTGAAGTGTGGATTTGCAACTACAACCACACATGTTTACAATCATTAAACAAATTTGTATATAAAAGTTACCTGTTAGTACTGACAAAAACAAGCAATGTAGAATTTTGTACAATTATACTGTATTGCACTGCTTTCTCTCATCTCACCATGGACCCATTTAGGAACTTCTGATCTATATCACTTATAAAATTATTCCTTTACTCCATCAGTGTGGTCAATGTCTCATGTAGAGCAAGAATAAAGACGAGCGTGTGATCCTGCATCAAGAATCACCTACTCTTAGTAACTGACTGATCAAGAACTGCCAGCAGTATATACCAAAATCATTCATAGGTTGTGCACCAGTAACACTTCTTTAATTAAGCAGTGCCACATTTTATAAAATGTACAGTACTGTACTCTCTCAAGTAGTTATTTAACATTTTAATTTGTTTTACAGAAGACTGGTAGCACATCTGTATGGTGCAGCCAACAAGACTCATCCCTTCAGAATGGAGGATGTCTATTACACTGGACTTATCCCTCAAAAACTAAAATGGAGCAATGCGATAGACAACATAGCCAATCGTTTTCCATGGCGCCCAAGATTTTGGAAAAAATCATTTGAAAATACTGACCTCATGATACTAGAATTAGAAGAGCATTTAGGGCAAGGAGCATCCAGCAAAGTGTGGAACAAAATTCTTAAAAATAGAGGCTTTTTATCTTACATAAATAATAAAACCGTATTAGAGCCATAGCAAAACATGCATAAAAGCAGAAATATATACAGTATTATTATTTACCTGCAGTACACTGAAAAAGTTATCAATGGCAGGTCCATTCCTTCTAATGAACATTTTTCTCTGTGCCACCCACCATGCCGATTTCTTTATAAGCCTTTCTTTCTCAAAATAATTATCATTCATGAACACCGTTCAATCTTACTAATTGTATTTAAATAGTACTGTGCTGAATTGTACATTTTACAAATACAATACTGTAATCTAAATGTGATTACAGTATTTGAATTACATGTCCTTCCACGAAGATAGATTTACAGGAGAGACATATTTTCTTCTTGTATTAATAAAGTACAGTATCTTAAAATTAAATAAGCAGTATTTGTGAATATTTGAAAATTTAATGACCAGTATGAAGTTTATATCATGAATACCTGTAATTGTTGATTCAGTGTCAGCTGTTTTGCAAGTGGTGAGTGGCATACTGCCCCAAAAAGTGAGTCAGATGCTTGCATGCAACTCAGTGACTTTTAGAGCATTTGTGTACTCACCTAATTGTGCTTGCGGGATTGAGCTTCGTCTCTTTGGTCCCACCTCTCAACTGTCATTCAACTGATATACAGATTTGAAACTGTGTATCGAGTCAGCCTCCACCACATCACTTCCTAGTGCATTCCAGTTGTTAACTACTCTGACACTGAAAAAATTCTTTCTAATGTGTCTGTGGCTCATTTGGATACTAAGTTTCCACCTGTGACCCCCTTGTTCATGTTCCACTATGTATAGGAATGTATTGTTCGTGCATAGGAGTGGCCATGTGTGCATGACCTTATTGCTAATATTTCATCTTCAACAAATTGAGTTGTGAAGATAAGAGAATGAGATGCTGGATGTCTGTCAATCTTGTGGGGTAACAACAAATTACAAAATGTATATGTACTGTCACAAAGTAACAGGTATAAAAGTAAATCTTCACAGCATTTAAAGAAACCAAAGTAACAATGCTCGGTAATGGAATCAACTGACAGGATTCTCCTAGATGTAGAAATGGAAGGAAGCAAATTTACTGACATGGTTTCTGGTATAAAATCCACCCAGATGTTCTTTATCTCCAGGAAAGTTTTAAAGGCATCAATGTAAGCGCCAATCTTGGGATGCCGCACTGACAATGTTCATAAGTCTTACAACTATTTTTGTTGTTCAGTGCTCAAAATAAGATTGTGACAGTTTTACTAACAGTGGTCAATGCAAATGAATTACAGTAAAACCCAAAAGTCTGGGGATTCAATTACAATGGCAGGGCAGAGATGTTTTCTTTCACCTGATGGCTTTGTTCACCTAGAAGTAAATAGGTTTGCCATAGTTTGACAATTGTTGGATTGGGTCCTAGCAAAGGTCAGTCATTGGCCTAGGGGGCGACCTCATTTAGCTATAACAGGCCTTCTGTTCCCAACAAAGGGAAACAAAATCTAATCCATAAATTGAAGGAAAACCGACACACGTCTGACTAATATTATCCAATAGGAACACAAATCTTAATATTATACATAAAAAGGTATTAATCAGAGAAATTCTAGCACCTGTGGCACCACACCCAAGAATATTGACCAGAAAAATATTACTGAACCCCACCTTGTATCATTTTTGTAGTCAGTTCTATTAACATTCAGCATGATGTGGAAAAAACATGAAAATTAAGGAATAAATATTGACGCAAATTTCAGATCATGAAAGTGAAATCCTAATTGAATTAATATTAACTTAATATTTGATTTTTACCTATATTAAAAACCATTTGCAAAGAAGCTCGTCAAATTACTGTCGATTCGTTACTTTTGGAATTGCACATACTGTATGGGTGTACAGCTCTTACTGGAATTCATTAATCTATTGGTTAATAACGTTAGCCATTACTGGTCAATGGGTTAATAATGTTTTTCACTACTCTGTGGTATTAACTACATATCTACAACTATTCCACAATAAACACAGTGCTCTCAACTTTCATCCATTTTCATTAACTAGAATACACACATATGCAACATATATTTAAATCCTCATAAAATTTATGAAATTAAAAATCAAACTTTAGGCTAATAAATGAAAATGGTTACGATATATTATTCCTAAACAAAAAGAAGTACACCATTTTAAAACAAACTAAACATTAGATTAGTACAATGATAACACATTATTACTGAACATATATTTTAATTAAGTATACAATACATATACATCATACAAGATATATCCAAAAAGAGCCCCAGGTTATACAAGATGTGTATAGAGGATATTATTTGTAATTCCACTACATTTGCAACCTTTGCATTCCAATTAAAACAAATATTTTTATATCAAAAGTTTATATTATATTGGTGAAAATATCATGTTCTTCAATTCTATCATGTTCATGTTTTCGTGTTATATACATGAAAATATCATGTACATAATTATACATATTTCATTACCTTATGCAACGTCAGTCAACAGGACAAATTGAAGGATGACTAAATATTTTGAAGAATGCCCTGTAAGCCTAATCATTCATTAAAATAATTAATGTAAATAAATATGTACAAATGCCCCTTTTGTTTTCTTGTTCTAGAATAAATCTAGATAAAGACTTCAAGTTAGCTTGATATTGTATTAATATGACTGGTAAATATATTGTGTTGCAATGCTGGCCTGGTATAATTCCTCTAATAACAAAGTTGGCCAAATTGAAGAATGGATCAACAAACTCCCGCACCCCCAAGGCCTGGTCGAGTACCGGGCCGCGGGGACGTTAAGCCCCGAAATCATCTTAAGATAACCCCTGCTGACCAAATCACATTTATAGTGCCCAAACATTATCAGTCAACATTAGAATTAACTAAAAAATTATCTTGTTATTCATCTTGTTATAAAACAACACATGATCAGGAGAGGTCTGCTGATACCTTCACCAATACCACTCAGATGTTACCAATTGATAAATAACATACCAATTGTACCAATTATCTATAAATAAAACTCATTCAAAACCAACTACAAAGCTGGTATTTTATTAATTGAACAGCCACACCGTAGAATAAAACTAGATTAATTTACAGTGCTTCTAACTTTACCATAATTACTTTACTTGCAGAATATTTGCTACTTAGGAAGATAAAAAAAAATAAAGTTACCATATAACCAAGACAACCACTCATCAGGTACCCTGGTATGCTGTATACTTCAAGCAATAACTCTTCTACCATCTACCATCTACTAACACTTGCCATCTTGCGTACATGAACAATTTTATTCCTCTCTCAACCACTTTCTACTTTTATGTCTGGTCAAAATTTGTTTTCTTATGATGTATATTCCAAATTGACTCATTTTATAGAAAACAAAATTCTTTAAGTTTGCAATACAGTAGAATTGTTTTCCAACAAAATGTATAATAACCTGCTCTTCAGAAAAATACATTATTAGTACAGTACTTCATGCAATGCAGTCACCTATTCCACCTGTACACTTTACGTATTTGCTCACGATCTGGCTTCTCAACTCGGAAATATTTTATCTCCTTGTCTATATAAACTAATCACACACTTCTGTACATCCAAAACTCGCTCATATTTAAGTGTTGGACGGAGGTGCAATTTAATATGCAATAAAAAAATTGTAATCATCTTCACAATGTATTTAAATAAAGCAATGATACCTTAATTCACAAGTTGTTATCTTACACTAGGATGACGTAACATACAGGATGCTAACTTAAAAATACATTAAATATAATAAACAGGGTATCAGTTGCTGTTTTCAAAGTATCTTTTATATTTATTAAAATCTTCAAAAACTCTCATTTAAAAATGCTTTGACACATTTTATTGAAAAATCTTAAATGATAGATTAAAACTTATTTCAACAATATTTGCACTATATTTCCATTTCCTAAGCAGTTACACTGTAGTTTCTGTCATAATCTTGAGAAGGTTATTTCTTGCCTGTGTAAGCGCCTTAAAGGCTTCTTCGGCTCCAGGTGCCTTGCACTTATCGGGATGAACTAGCGCTGCTAATCGCCGATATGCTTTGTTCACTTCATCCCTAAGTCACAAGAATTACATTAATTTCATGATTCTTTTTACTTAATCTATTTGTAACAAATTAAAAGTATTTCTCATACCTTGATAAACTTAAGCTACCACTCATAACCTCATAACCTTATTTTAAGAAATTTGCATATAAAACCATCACATGCAAGTAATGTGAGAAATGTTACAGAAATACAAAGTGCAACTTTCTACTTCATAAAGTTTATTAGTGTGTGCAGTGACAGAATAACTATGCTAGGTGAATAAGTGACAAGTGTGGGGAAGGATATTCCAGCAAAATCAAGGTTAGTTTAATGAGAGGAAGATGATGATGAGGCAAAGATACGGTGTGACAAAGAAGAATGAATTGTCACACTTTATAAGGTAAAGTTCCTATTTGTCAGCCAGAACCAATATCGGTCACCACTTGGAAAAGAAAACTATCACCTGAAGAGTAGAATAACATACAAAATACTTCAAATATACAGGTTTTACATGTACAAATATGTAAGACATCTAAAGCGAAACAAAAGGTTCACAAAACTTTACTGTCATACAAGATAAAACTGTTAGTCCAAAATTGTCATTAAACTAATGAGAAATTAAGGCAGTACAGTACCTGATGTGTGAAGACTGGACACCCTTAAACAGTTTCCTGATCATTATTATTTGACTTTAGTGACTTACAATACATAGTTGAAATAATTATCTCTAAAGCTATTTTGATGACATTTCCAAATTTAAATACTGTATAAGAATGATGCTGTCTTTTTCAAAAGGATGAAATGCAGAGCAAAGAGAGTATATCTTGATTAATCTGTCCAGTTAAACCAATATTTTCAAGCAGGACTCCTTGCATCATGCATATCAATGTGGTATCATTATGGATTACAAAGGAAAAGAAATCTCACACAATCACAAAAAAATCAGATTCATCTCTATTGGAAGAACACAATGAACACAATTCCTATGTTTTGTTGCATGATTGAAGAAAAAGAAGATGTCAAAATAGAATCTGCACTTCTTCCAAGGAACGCTGTTGAGCAAAATTTGAGACGACAAACGATATGAGACTGCTGTGGTTGCAAAAATAAATTGAGCACCTACAAGTAGGTTTACCAGGCAATTGGTAGTCAATTGTACCCACTTAAGGTACTTGTGCTAACATCATAGTACATTCAGAATGGTGACTTCCAATGAACTATCATTGAGCAATGTGCACATGCATGCACATGCACACGCATGCAATGGGGGCCTCGTAGCCTGGTGGATAGCGCGCAGGACTCGTAATTCTGTGGCGCGGGTTCGATTCCCGCACGAGGCAGAAACAAATGGGCAAAGTTTCTTTCACCCTGAATGCCCCTGTTACCTAGCAGTAAATAGGTACCTGGGAGTTAAGTCAGCTGTCACGGGCTGCTTCCTGGGGGTGGAGGCCTGGTCGAGGACCGGGCCGCGGGGACACTAAAAGCCCCGAAATCATCTCAAGATAACCTCAAGATGACTGACAGCACACCAGTCCTGGTGATCAGTCGTTCAGAATTTAAATTTGTGAACAAGGTAAACCCTTATACAACAAGCATTCACTGTTTGATCTATCGACATGCTTCAGCACCAAAAATAATTTCACAGGAATTCAAAATGTACCTTAATGTCAAAATGGTACTAAGACAGTACTAAGAAGAGATGCAACAAAATTAATGAATTACTCCACATAAAGTAATGCAAAGTTGGTGTATACAGAACAACACATTGTCAGTGGTGAGGAGGCGACTGGAGGGTATCACGGAGTTGTTGCTTTACCAAACATGAATGGAAAGGGGGGGGGGGGATGAGGAAGATTATACTTATTTTAGCATATTATTCCTTAAAAAGAGTGTGCAGGTACTTTATCTGTTCTTTCTTTGGGTATTTATGGGAACTACCATCTTATTCACCATACAGACAAGAGGCAAATACTGCCATCCTGATGATGTGACTGAAGCTGCGAGTTAATTATGTGTGTGCATTTTATGTTACGTGTTCTTCAATCTTCCAGTTGCATATCCACTGCTATTAAAGCCCCAGCATTTGAAATATTAATAGAAAATACTGAATCAGTGAAGAAAAACTGTCTGACCAGAAGTTGGTGACAGCGATGTGCCGAGGGTTTATACAAAGTGAATAATTGCAGTGCCTCTTGTTGCAAAGCTCTGGGTACTTATCTGTACTTACAGTCTGAATTGTAAATAATTACTTATCTGTAAGGTAATTAAATACCTTAACCTTCAAAGAGTGACTATCATCAAAAGTGCTATTCTGCCAATGCAAAAAAGAATTGTTCTTGTAGAATGAAAAATTTTCATGCAAAACAATAAGGACTCAAATAATTTAATAAGTTGAATGGTTTTTAAGCTTGTGACTTCATTTATTTAGTTCACATTATGCATTTTTTGAGTTGATTATTTATCTACACATATGTACATTGCAGATGGGCTTGCAATGTAACGTCTACAACTATGTAACATTTAAACCTATTACTGGTACAGATTAACCCTCTAATTGCATACCCTAAATTGAGCCAATTTTCTGGCAAGCATAACAAAATTCTTTTTCCTTTCTACATCATGGAACATTTCCTACCAATAGTGGGAAAATTAAAAAAAACTTCTAATCCTTTTAGTTTACCCATAGTGTGGTGAAGAAATATTGAGAATGTCAAATTTTGAGAAACAATTTTCATTTTAAATACAGCAATTGCAATAGATTTTTCTTTATCACTAAGATCTTCCAAGTTCATATAAATTCTTAAAATTTTACATGGCATCAGTGGTTTTTACCATGGGGCATCATTCAATGGATGTTGATGCACCTGACTTGGTGCCTTTTTTTTTTTTTACTACAGTAGTTCCAGGAAAGGAAGCAAAGGCTTCTGAGATTTTTTCCCAATATGGCAAACGATCGCCAGGGATCTCTAGTGTTGAATGACATCCACATTGAATCTTTAAGACTTTTGAATATTATGAGGCACATTAAATGTCATACATGTGACAACTGGCTTTTAACTCTCAACAATTTATCACAGCTAACATTAACGGACTAAAACAGCCCCTTGTTTCATCCAAATTTTTAGTGAGAAATTGTCTGAGGACATTACTCATTTCACAGTTTATTTCCATACACTATATTACATCCATACAGATGTCATAACCACATTTACATCATTTGTATAAAAATCAAGCTATAATACAGTACTAAACCCAGAAAATCATAACTAAATTGACCAAGGGATTCAACATATGACAACAATTGAACTTTAAAGGTTAATAATAATCGGTTTTTGTCAACAAATCTCTCTGCTACAGAGAACCCGTGGATTTTTTAAAATATATATATATATATACAAGACTTTCCAAGTGCCCAAAACTATTACGACAGCCTGGTCAGAAGGTCTACTAGCCCAAAGCCGCCTTCCATGCCACCTGCAACACAACCTCCAATGCCCACTCTCACCCACAGCCCTCATTGTTTGTTTGTCCTGCGAATCTCAAGCCTTATCAACCAGGATATCTTCAAAGCGATCATGGATGCCAAATTCAAGATAATGTGTTGCAATTAGTATTGTTCTGAAAGAATTCAGGAACTTTCTAGCAAAAAACAGCTTAACAATTAAAAAATTAGCAAGGAGCCTGGAGTTTATCAGGAGCTAAGTAAATGTCGATAAAAGGTCATTGATGCCTTCATGGTCCATTAGAGGGCTTATCAAGCCACTCGAATTCCAAACTAAACCAAGGCCATTTGAGTAGACTGTCAACAATCTAAGAGACAATGCAACAATGCAGCATACACATTGATAGCATGGGGAGAGACTACAGGCAAAATTTTGTAATAAACCCAGCTCAAGGTAGAGTAGAGCTTCACACAAAATTTAGTTATCAAAACCATCCACAGAGAAGGTTCATAATGTTGAGAAAACAGCAAGTATGAGCAAGCCCAACATTATTGCCATGGAATAGAAAAACAGCAATGCAGAATAGCAAGAAATAAAAAGGAACAAGGGTCTACTGAAAAGATGATCTTTGTATTGCATGTTGAACATCAAAAACCTCTCCATACAAAAATTTAAAGAGGCCAAAAATGCTGCCAAGATTTCACATTTAGTCATCTGGAAACAAACATTATCTTCATCAGCAGAAGCCATAGTAGATAACAGCAGCATTGAATCCTACCTAACAAGTGCTTTATCAACTCCCAGCACTCGACCCTACACTTCAGTGTAGGGGCTATGTGCACACTCTGAGCCATTTTAATATCCCGCAGGTAAAAAAAAAAAAAAATGCCATCGTCTGAGGTCCTCCACTCATACTACTATGTGAAGAAAAATTGACACAGTCCACAAGAAAGTTATAAAAAAATAATATAATGTAAGAAGAGACAGGACAACACTGAGCCACCCTATATTTAGCATCAATGGCTTAACGTCCTTGAGACCACCAAGTGTGTAAACAACCCAATATATTTATTTATTTATTTATTTTTTCTATATATATATATATGTACAAGAGTTCTTATATTCTTGTACAGCCACTAGCACGCTTAGCATTTCGGGCAAGTCCTTAATTCTGATTTCCCCCAGAATACGACCCGCCATTTCGTTTAACAACCAGGTACCCAGTCACTACTGGGTAAACAGAGGCTACAGCTAAGGATTGGCGCCAAATAAGTCTTCCCCGGCCAGGATATGAACCTAAGTCAAAGTGCTTGTGAAGCGCCAAGCGAATGTTTTACCACTACGCCATGACACACAATCACTTGCCAATCACACAACATCAGATCAAATGTTCAGCATATCTTTTCAAATTAAGTCAAATCAAGACTAACAGTTCCAATCTATCTTCCACACAGTCTACACTGTTTGTTTCCTTAACACACAAAAAAAAGGGGGGTCCAGAAGTTGGCCTAGAGATATCTTATTAACTATAATAGGCCTCCTTCCTGTCCTTGATGACAAGAAACCATTATAAACTTTTTAACACAATATTGCCAATAGTTTAAGAAATTACTCATTGTAACCTCTTACAATATTAATATATATTTATTTCTTTATAAAAAGAATATCAACATTGTCCTCATAAACTTTTGGTAAATACACTGTGTATTATATTGCAACACAGGATTTTTACTTGTGTATTTAAATAAGCTAAAAAATATAATTATGTTAATGGTAAAAAACAAAAACAAAAAAGAACCCAAAATTATGGAAAATTTAGCTCACTCGGCACACCCACAGGGTCCCAATATTCAAATAAATGCTAGCATTCATTAATTTGAGTGTAAAGTTGGTCTGGTTTTAAAACATTCCAAATATAAACCCAATATTTTTATGATTCTTGCTAAAAAATTTAAAAAGTGTATATTGCAAAATTTGCCTCCCTCGATCCCACACATACAGCCCCACTCCTGTGTCAGTTAAGTCCACTATGGGCTAACCACAGCCCGTAAACAGACTGAATCTAAAACAACAACAACTTGATCCCATCACAATCGACTTGATAATGGTCCAAGACGGACCGAAACATCGTCGTCTCCATCTTCTGGTGTGTGGTTTGGTCATCATCATCACATCATCATATTATTATTATTAATTATTATTAGATATGGAAGACTACTAATGTCTGGATACTGCCTGGTCACTGCTTAAGAGTCTGTAGTAGATTATTTTAGGCAAAAACTATACTGTATTGTACTTTGACCTAATTTTGGAGAATTGCAGGAAAGAAAGTGATCATGCTCATAGGTGTTCGGTTATTGGTCATATGGTACCTGGATAAAGAGGGCCAGTGTATATGATGATAATTAACTTATAGATGTTTATTAAATAAATACCTTGAAATTGAGCGTCGACTTATTCCCATCTTATCAAAATCATCTATTGCATGGGTTAAACGATGAATAGCTTGAACAACATCTGGATCAATAGCACCCGTTGCTGCTCCTTGCTGCCGCAAACCATCTTTCATTTGTAGTGCTTGTACAAACAATGTCTGAAAATTAAAACAAATGCTGTAACCCAACTTGATTTTATCAAAATTGTCATAAAATGAAAATCCTTGCTAAGAAAATAATGATGCTTAAAGAACTGAAGCAAAGGCAGATTGGAAAAAGAAATGTGTGTACTGTATATCAATATGGTTAATGTGACTTAATACAAGGAAGTCATCTCAGCAAGATAGCTTCAGGGAGCCACCAGAGGCTGTCCAAAAAACAAGCGTAAAATATTCTATACATTGTCATAAACGGTATATACAGTGCTGTACCATACTTATCTAAAAACCATATCAACTACGAGAAAAGCTCACATGGTGAGATCAACTGAAGTAAAAATGTGTGTTTACAAAATATTGCATGACAAAGATTTCAGTAGTAAAGCAGTATTGGACATATACATTAACTTCAAATAAAAAGATTTAGTAACCTACAATGTTGCAAATCCAATCTTTGTTTTGAAAATCTGCATGATCAATTTGCAGTATTTACCTTTCTTGCTCATATTCTCACTCACTTTGACTTTTCATCTTTATCTCCCTTTCCCAATTCTCCCACTTTCAAACCTTCAAATCAACCTACATGAAAGGCTTGCGTAATTCCATTGCCTAGAGCAGCAGAAGTCAGTACATGAGAAAAGCTGTGTTTTTCAGCCCAGCTCCGACCATCAGCTTCCGACACTTGACGGCCACCCGTCCCACCAGTGTCTGTTCTTGTGCCACACACTACAACTGCTAAATTCCACTCATTAGATCTGAAAAAAAAGTGAGGCAGTTATAAACCACTAAACTAGTATTACCAGTTAATATATTTAACCATCTCTCTACCTACATTAACATCCTATTTCCTCTAAGAGCTCCCATTCTCAGAGAGCTGGTTACATGTAGACACTCTCTTGCATACCTGCAAAAATGTTACTTAATAGGAGCCACTTGCAACATCTGAATGATTGTATTTAAAAACATAATAAAGGAAACTGCAGGTGTATTACTGGCCCCATGTGAGGCAGCTCCTATTTATACCCAACCAAATTCATTCATATATACAGTGGATAAGTCAAACCTTTACCTGAAACACTTCAGCAATACCACGTTTATTGTGTTACTCAGGACTTAATTTGATTCATAAATAAACACTATTCTCAAAACAATATTTACCCAGGTCTTTCCTGAATCTAAACTAATCTAATATGTAACTACTGTTTCATATTCTATTTTGTGTCAATGTATTTATCAATATCCCCCTTTGTTTATACCCTTTTGTCCATATGTTTACTTATGTCTTGTCACTCCTTACTCTGCCTTTCTAGACAGCAAATTAATCTTGCTTTACCTCTCTTCATAAGGAAGGTTTCTAATGCCTGGGATTAACTTTGTCATTGTTCAATGTATTCATTAAATAAATATTTAATATATAGTAAAATCTTCCAATGAAATTTAATTGTAATGAAATTAAGAGTACTGTAATATACTGTAATATACTGTAGCACATAACCTTTGGTTATTTTATTTATTACAAAAATGCTTTTCAGAAGCTTATAGGAAACCGAGGGGCTAAAAGATACCTAGTATTTATTTTATTCCTGGCTTTGGAATACACTGGAATCAAAGCTTGTATTTATAATTAACAAAAAAAGATTAACTCGGTACAAACCTTCATTTCAGCATGTAGACTGCGTAAACATCAGGTTCCCTCCATCGCCAAGCTGCTTGTCAAGGGTAATAGCTTTTAGGCACACATTTATAAACAAAATTATAAATCACATGCATTATAAAAGAAAGATACAAATTTAAAAGGCACACCTGCTCAAGTTTGTTCTACTACTTAACAAATGACAATGAAAGATTCAAAACAAAGCAAAAATTGTTGGGTTTATTAACTTTAGAATATAAAAGGCATCACAAGTAATTTACAGTAAACGTTCCAATGACTAAAGCACATCATCTGATCTCAGAATTTCCTAAAAACCACTTTCTTAACCATTATATTTGCTCTTTTATAATGAAACTGTTGAAATACACGAGCACAGTTCAGGTAGAGCTTATCAGGGAATCAACCAAGGTATTAGGGAAGCTAGCAGAGATCACCCAGTTAAAATTGTATAATTTTTGATGGAATATACAAATATACTACTGATTAGAAAATATTTCCACTAAAAAAGGTTGTATTGTGGTAATGTTTACCCACACTTTCCTTTCAGAAGTACTGTAATTCAACTGCAAACTCTATTTGAAAGGTAAATAGTACTCTAACTTACACTTAAAAATGGAAAAGAAGGATACTGTACTTGATGATACCAGATTTACAAACCCAACACATGTTTTAGCTTAAAATATTATTCCACAACACACAGATCAAATTGCTTATCCAACAGCTCATATTAGTTTAAACAAAATTAGATGTAAAATATCTTGATTAATGAAGAAATTTAATAACCTAAACTAATAAATAACCGAACCCCGCACACATGAAATTACAGTACAGAGAAGTGAAAACGTTACAGCCCGTCCTGAACGCTCATCAAGTCAGAGCCAAGACGCACATGTGAGTTGGGTTATTTGTTTTTAGCCATGCTATACTGACTTATTCTCTGTAACCTAATCCGTTAGCAGGTACTGTACCAAAATTATGGGAAGAAAATTTGCACTTCTGGTCTATATGTTATATTAAAATCTTGCATGAACAATTTTAAGTACTGTATATTAATTACTAGAAATAATCTCTCTAACTTAAAACAGACTACATAAAATACTCTACTGTTAAAGGCAGGGAAAATAAAAACAAAGCACCAAAACATTTGTACAGTAATAAATACTTACGCTCCCAGATTATGTCTTAGTTCAGCCAGCCAGGCATCCAGAGCAATGAACGATGATCTGTCAGTCACATCGTACGTTAACATTATTCCTTGCATATCTCGATAGAATTCACATCTAACCTGCAAAACATAAGTAATATACTACATGAATTTTTTGTATTTTATTGTTGTAAAGTACAGTACAATAGTTTATAGGTCCTTTCTGTGCAAGAGAAAGGTACATTGTCCCCGGTATGAGAACAATGGTTTGAAGATTATATTTTACCGTAACACATGCTAGTACAATATATCTTAAGTGTTCTGACTTATGATATTTTCATGCTAGAGGTCTCTGATTCTAAAGCTCTATAAACAATTTTGTATCAAATGAGAGATTTGTTCACTATATATCAGCAATTAAGTTGAACTTGCAGTTCAAATGACCTTTATCTGTAACTAATTTACTGAATTGGAGAAATGCTTTGCAGCAGTTCATGTCAGTTATGGTAATATTAACAAAATAAACCCTTATTTTAGGAGTTTGCTTAATAATCGTGTTCATAATTATATCTTTTTGTACAAAGATAATACACTCCAGTACCTAATGTCTTGTTCACATTATATAAGGAGCTTAACAAGTCAATTAAATTAAAAAGTCTTTAACTTACAAATAAACTCCTTGATGCATGATATTTCCTCTATCACATCTTGAGATATAATTTGGGGGTTCATACTTCACTATCCATGTAATCTAAAATATGAGTTTCTGTGAATGTTCAAAACGGCTTTGCCTCTTTGAAGAAGCCTTTTATGAAAAGAACTTTCTATTCATTGCACATTTGTATTTTTTTTTAACAGGCTTAGATATACACAGCAGTGTGTTGCTACTCTATTCTATATGAAAGATTACAAAATTTAGATAAAAAAACAAGCCATAAGTTTATCCCCATCTCACAGGATGGTTAGTCATGCATGGAATCAGTAGAGAACATGAAGTGCAAGGCTGATCCATTAGTCTGCACTAGCAAAGTCTGGGTACAGCCCAAGAATATTCTCCAATATTCATGTGTGTTTGAAATACTGTAGTTACAGAGCTCAATGTATCTCATACCATTTGGTCTGAAATCATTCATAACAGTGCAATCACAGATATACTGCTGGAGAGTATGTCCTAGCCCTAGTTCACATAGTTTAGAATTGGAATGTTCACCATTGGGGATTCATTACCTGCAGCTACCTGCCATAAATAATCAGCATCCCAGCCTAATTCTGGCAATTACAATGTAACACTGCCAAGTTGATGTTTTGTGCTGTCCGTACATGTACTTCTAGGTTCTAAACACATCATAGCTCTTTATACTCGTGCTTTCTGGCCTTACAGTGTCATTGATGACAAATGAAGGTACACTCAATTATTTTGATTGGGATTTTTTCTGTAAGAATGTTACTGCACTCTCATTCCAAGATACACAAGGAAATTGCATTTATTTAATCTAGTACTAGTAGAAGTTTGCACTGGTAATAGTGGTGTAATAGTTGACTCTACTGAATGAATGGCCTTTAATTTGCATGTTCTAGTACCATTTATTCTTCCCCTTAATCATGCAGCCTTCACTTTCTTCAAAGTCTAAACAATATATGAGTACTCTCCATCCATGTTTAGAAGTTTTCCCTTTTTAAGGTTTCATGCCCCATGTGTTCTTGTCTAACTAAAGTATGTTCCTGGCAATACACAGAGCATTAGCTGATAAAAGTAAGAATAATGTACAGTACAGTATATACAAACCTCTTCAAACAGTGGGCTGCCAGACGTGTCAAAGAAGTGAACAGAGATTTTACGTCCATCAACATCAACAGTTGTTGAACCATAATCAATACCAACCGTTGGGATATATTTAGTAACAAAACGGTTTTCACAATATCTCTTTATTAGGCAGCTCTGAAAAATAATCAATGTTTGAAACAATTAATTAATAATTACATGTAAATACCCTACTAGTATTACAGTAGTACCTGAAGAACATGTAAATCAGAAATAAATGATTAGCTAAAACTTTAAACATACAGAAAATAAATGCTGCTTAGCTTGCTAGATATTCAATCTCAAAACTAATATTTTTTTACAAAATAAAATTGGAGATTTTACCTTGCCAACTCCAGGGTTGCCAAGACTCAGGATACGAATTCTTGATATATGCTTTGACCCATTACGACTGTCCATGACTGATAGTGTTTACATTAATATCTTCTACAATATGTATCTCCCAGAGTTCTTCTCAACCTGTGCAAAGAAAGATATACAATAAAGTACAGCACAGTATACACTCACAGCAACTTATCTAATTTTGTAAAATTTTCACTCTTAATTGAAATTCTGAAATTTACAAAAATCAAACATTGAATGCAATGAAATGTTTGGCCTGCAATCACCTCGAGCTAAGTAATGGTCCAGCCATGTCTTAGATGCACCAGGTATCTAAGACCAACCCTTGCATACTAGAAGATAAGACAAGAACTGGTGCTCTCATGATGTAAGGTGAGTTTCAGGATCAGAGATTAACCCAAAACCAAGAAAAATCCCACCAGATAACATAAGAGTAAGAAAACAAGCAGCTTCATACACAAAATTAGATACCCATATGAAATAAGGCAAAGGGTCATTACTGAAGGGTAAACACCTTAATAGTAACGCAGATGACTACCACGAAAACTGTACTCATGTACTCTGGCAATAATCATTTGCTTTGTTCACCTGGGGATGCCTAATTTCCTTTAAGCAATTTTTCCTATTTGTTGCATCAATAATTACTAATTGATTGATCTCTGATCTCCATGTAAACCTTTCCCTCAGACTAAGCAAGACTCTGGTCCTGGCTTCCAGAAGATATTGGATGGGCTTCAGAGGCCAGGTACCTGCTTAATATCTGCTTGATGGGGTTCTGGGAGTTCTTCTACTCCCCAAGCCTGGCCCGAGGCTAGGCTTGACTTGTGAGAGTTTGGTCCACCAGGTGTTGGGCTAAGGCTTCGTGGAACAAGAGCTAAACTCAAGTAGCTACTGTGGGGTCCTCCCTAAAAAGTATAGTGATCCAAAAAGTTATATGGAATAAATATCAATCAAAGTAAATTTAAAAAGATAAAAGATAAAAAGTAATACAAATTACAGATTTTGTATTAAGATTTCTTAAGAGTAGGCTAAAAATACAGTCCATTAGAGGTAAATCATCTTTGGGAATAATATCAGTTTTCCATACACATTTTGGTAGAAATGTGCATAATAAATAATACTCTATCCAAATATACCACTCATGCAAACACTTAATTTATTAAGTATGTACTGTAAATAAATATTTTCTCCTTTTATTATGCATTACAATATTATGAAATATTGTACAGTACATGCTGTATTCCTAACCTTTAAACTAGGTCTGGTTTAAACTAGGTAAACTGAAGGTCCTGGGGTTCAATTCATGCAACAGGATGAAGACATTTGGATAGGTTTCCTTTCCCCTGATGCCTCTGTCCACCTAGCAGTAAATACCCAAGAGTTAGGGAACTCAGTGCAGTTGATTTGCAGCATGTTGATCCTGGGTTCAATTACTAGGCAGGATAAGATGTTTGAGAATGATTACTTACATCTAATTCCTATATACACCTAGTATTAAATAGGCCCACAGAAGTTGGGCAACTCCTAAGGGTTGCACATCCTGGGGAAGTATATTTGTTGGTCTAGGAGAACCTTGAACATCCTAATAGGCTTCTCATCCATGGCAATGGGAACCGAGAAATATAAGGTTACGACACAGCGTACCGTCAAGTAATCATAGTCTGTCACGTGGTGGAAAAGCACTCGCCCAGCGCTTTGCGAGTGATTTTGGCCTGGTTTCGTATCCTGGCCGGGGAGAATTGACCGAGTGCCAATCCTTAACTGTAGCTTCTGTTTACCCAGCAGTGAATAGGTACCTGGTTGTTAACCTATATGGCAAGTCGTATTCTGGGGAAAAAATTTGGATTAAGGACCTGCCTGAAATGCAATGAGTGCTAGTGGCTGTACAAGAATGTAATTTTTTTTAATTATCAGGGGGAAAGTGCCAAGTCATTACGACTATATAACTCTGGGAAGGGGTCAGGATAAGGATTTGGGATGGGACGGGGGGAAGGAATGGTGCCCAACCACTTGGATGGTCAGAGATTGAACGCCGACCTGCATGAAGTGAGACCATCTCTCTACCGTAAGAACTCTTGTATATATAAATAAAAACAAAATCACTTGAAGCCTGGCCCCAGTCTGGGCTTGAACCAGAATGGGGCCAGGTTTGACTTCCAGAACCCACTCTAGGTACACCTAAACTGACAATATTTCCCACACATTCTCCACCTCACACTGTCACCTAACTTACATCAACCCCCCCCCTCCCCCACACTTAGGGGCACTGGTAGCTGAGTGGACAGTGCGTGTGACTCGTAATCCTGTGACCCGTTGTCGATTCCTGGCGCCGGCGAGGAACAATGGGCAGAGTTTCTTTCACCCTGATGCCCCTGTTACCTAGCAGTAAATAGGTACCTGGAAGTTAGACAGCTGTTATGGGCTGCTTCCTGGGGGAGGGGTGTAAAAAAAATAGAAGTTAGTAACAGTTGATTGATTGACAGTCGAGAGGCGGGCCAAAAGAGCAGAACTCAACCCCTGCAAGCACAACTAGGTGAATACACTGTTATAAGGATCCCCTCCCCCCCCCCATGACCTATGTATCTCCTACACTGGATGCCAGACTCAACAAGGATCTCCCACACACATATAAGGACACCCACACTCATATAAGGACCCTCCACACACTCATATAAGGACCCCCCACACACTCATATAAGGACACCCACACTCATATAAGGACCCCCCACACACTCATATAAGGACCCCCACACACTCATATAAGGACCCCCACACACTCATATAAGGACCCCCACACACTCATATAAGGACACCCACACACTCATATAAGGACCCCCACACACTCATATAAGGACCCCCACACACTCATATAAGGACACCCACACACTCATATAAGGACCCCCACACACTCATATAAGGACCCCCACACACTCATATAAGGACACCCACACACTCATATAAGGACCCCCACACACTCATATAAGGACACCCACACACTCATATAAGGACCCCCACACACTCATATAAGGACCCCCACACACTCATATAAGGACCCCCACACACTCATATAAGGACACCCACACACTCATATAAGGACACCCACACACTCATATAAGGACCCCCACACACTCATATAAGGACCCCCACACACTCATATAAGGACCTTCCCCACACGACACATGGGTCTCCCACACTGTGGCCTGACTCAATGTGCTGGGTATTTCCGACCACCCATTTCTAAGACACTCACCCACTCTTCGCTATATTCACCTCCACCGGTCTTCTCGCCGCCTCCTGCACACACCTAAACCTCCACCTCGACCAATAACCCCCTCGCCTGCCTCTCCTCAGGTGTATAGAGTGGTTGAGGACAGGACGCCGCTGAAGACAAGAGTTGTTCACCAGCTCAAAATATCTCGTTGGAGCCCTTGTTTACGCACTGAATTGGAGGCCGACCCGAGTACGGGATTCCAAAAATGTGCAACTATGGTGGAGGTGAGAAGCACTCGAAGCAAATTTTGTTTTAAAACATTTATATACGCTAATAATTGTTATCTATTTATGTCATAAGAAAGAAGGAAATATATTATTTATTTCAGAACCTTCATTATAAAAATATCTTATAATGCATATATTTTCGGTTTTCCTTAATTTTGATTTCTTCTTCCCACTGAACCCCATATAATAATTTAATAATTATTCCATATAATAATATGATACATCCATATAATAATATGGACGTTGATGTGTTTTTTAACAAGCTTGGGTACACACAGCGATGTGATACTTAAGGCAGCTAAAATTGCACGTGATAAGCCTGAAATTGAGTTGGATATGGGCATTCCAGTCTGCTGTAAAAGCCGCAATATTTCAGGAAATTAGGGAAGACAGAAGAGCAGTCACTGACACACCAAGTCAGTGAAGGCCAGAAAGTACGTGTATAAAGAGCTATTACATGTTTAGAACCGAGAATTATATGTACTGGCAGCAGGAAACATCCACTAAACAGTGTGACATTGTAATTGCCAGAATTAGTCTGGTATATCGATATTTGTGGCAGGTGGCTGCTGGAGGTAATGAATCTTCCGATGGTAAACATTCTAATTCTAAACTATATGAACAAGAGCTGGGACATACTCTCCAACACTATATCTGTGATTGCCCTGTTGTAAGTGACTTCAGACCAAATGGTGAGGTACTTTGAGCTCTATAATTACTTCAAACACTCAGGAATATTGGAAGATATTCTTCTGCTATACCCCGATTTTGCTAATGGAGACTAATAGATCAGTCTTACATTTCATGTCCTCTCCTGATTTTTATTCAGAGTTGGTTTGTTTTTATATTGAGGTTGGTATTTTCTCCCGATTCCATATATGACTAACCATTCTGTGAGATGGAAATTATTAGATAAATTTATAGCTAGTTTTTGAGTCACACTGTGTAATCTCATATAGAATAGGGTAGCAGCACATTGCCGTGTATACCTAAGCTTGTCACAAAAAAAAAATGAAGACTGGACCTTGGAGTCAAATTCCACCACCCAATAAAAGTTGCACAACAGGTATGGGGCAGCAGCCAAAAAGGCTAACCAAACCCTTGGAATAATCAAGCGTACCTTCGACTTCAAGGAAAAGAAGGTAGTGATTCAATTGTATAAAGTTTTAATAATAATAATTTATTTGGAAGAAGGTATAATGGGTTGTGAGATTACATAGGATTGGTATTTTTACATTCATACAAAGCCACTAATACTTATAGCGTTTCGGGCAGGTCCTTAATCTAACATATCAGGTAAGATGCTAATACTGATCACGGTCGTTATATGTACCTCATGTACCAAGAAGATCCTCGGCTCATTGTAGCAAGGTTTTTATATTAATAAATAACTACACTATAAGTTGACATAGTTGATTACACTGGTAAGAATATGTTTCTTAAGTACTAATATTGGGGAAGTGGGTAGTACAACAGTGAGTTTGAAGCACAAGGTAGGAAACTATGATGGTGAAATTAGGTACTTTTTTTATTTTACTTTTGAACAAGCCATAGTTTTGACATTTTTTAAATTCATCTGGGAGTGAGTTCCAAAGATTTCAAAGTTTCAAAGGTTCTCAGTCCTACATTGTAGGACTGAGAACAAGAGATATTTTTTTCACCCACAGGGTTATAAACCTCTAGAACCCCCTACCCGCCGAAACCATAAATGTTAAAACTCTGTTAACGTTTAAAGTACAGCTGGAAAAGATCATCAAGGTAAATGAAAGGACCTTCGACAAGCCCCCGGCTTCTTGTCCTCGTCGAGGCTACTAGTGTTAGCGGCCCTCAGGTAAACTCAGGTATAGTGACGAAGAGTGTGCGAATAATTTAATATAATAAGGTACACGTGGCGCAGTGGTAAAATACTCGCACGGTGCTTCGCGAGTGCTTTGGCTTGGGTTCGTATCCTGGCCGAGGAGGATTGACTAGGTTCCAATCCTTAACTGTAGCCTCTGTTCACCCAGCAGTGAATGGGTGGTACCGGGTCGTATTCCGGGGAAAAAATGGGATTAAGGACCTACCCAAAACGTGCTAGTGGCACGTGCTATGTGCCCTAGTGGCTTTACAAGAATGTAAGAACTCTTGTATAAATAAAATAAAAAAATTAAATAAAATTTACCTCCCCCTTAACCCTACAACACGGCATCACAGAAAACGGCTCGAGAGCTCACGGGTCGTTTTCTTCAGTCGTGTTCTAAGAGGAACTGATTTATTTAACCCTTGTCTGGTGGCTGAGTTTTCTTGAGTTTACCTGAGGGCCACTATCTTTCTAGTGGCCTAGACAAGGACAGGAAGCCAGTGGCTTGTCGAAGGTTGTTCCATTTTGTAGAGATGAATTTTGAAATTCAGCAGCGTTTTGACATTTACGGCATTGCTGGTAGACGGGTCCAGGGGTTTATTTACCTGAATTTATCTCAGGCCACACTGTCTCTCTAGTGGCTTCGACGAGGACAGGAAGCCGGCGGGTTGTCAAAGGTCCTCCCATTTGTCCTAATGATTTGATCTAGTTTAAAATTTTGCAGAGTTTTGACATTTACGGCTTCGGCGGGTAAGCGATTACATGGGATTATATAACCCTGTGGGTGAAAAGATAAGTAGGAAAAAAAGATAGAGTAGTTTTCCTTCCGATGCTTCGAAAGTATAAGTAGTTTGGTTCAAATATTATGCACCCCGTACCTATCCTGTGGGCGGTAGGGAACCCCATACCCATCCCGTGGGTGGTAGGGAACCCCATACCCATCCCGTGGGTGGTGGTGGACCTCATATACCCATCCTGTTGTCGGTAGTGGACCCCATACCCAGCCTGTAGGTGGCAGTGGACCCCATATACCCATCCGGTTGGCGGTAGTGGACCCCATACCCAGCCTGTAGGCGGCAGTGGACCCCATACCCAGCCTGTGGGCGGTAGTGGAAAGGTTTATAGAGGAACACAATGCGATCAGGGACTGAACCCCAACATTCATTTAGCTGACAAAGTTACAGTATTGCTAAGCTAGTCACATTATTTGCTGTATATTTGTATTATATCAACAACAGGTTCGACAGCGACGACAAATACAGTCTCTTGTCTAAGTAGCTCACAAATGCGATGAGCTTGTTTCATATTTGATTTGCATATTATGCACCACCCTAACAACAAGAATTTGATACAATTAGCATGACACGAGTCGCTAACCGTCGACCTCTACGGCTGCGGATTATGTAGTCAAGAAAACTAAACTTATGTACGGTTGACGAGGGGCTCTAAGCTACGAGGGCTCTGGTGGTCACTTGGCTGGGATGTGTCCTCTTAGGAAGATTGGCGTTCACAAACTGTACCTTGATTCCTGGTGTAACTACTAAGAACCAGCTGGGCAGGAAATGTTTCTTAATGAGTGATGACTCCGGCCCCTAGCGTGTATACACTAGGGGCCGGAGTCAGCAAGCTGTGACGCAACTACTTGCCACACATTTTCTTCTTGTCTCGTTCTTGACAGTTAATCCTGGATTCAATAAACAGTTTACGAACGCCGATCTCCCTGAGTACACCACAGATCATCCCACAGATCTTCCTAGAGTATAACAGATACCCTCAGAACACCACAGATCATCCCAGAGTACAGAAGATCCCCTCAGAACACCACAGATCATCCCAGAGTACAGAAGATCCCTTCAGAACACCACAGATCATCCTAGAGTACAGAAGATCCCCTCAGAACACCACACATCATCCTAGAGTACAACAGTTTCTCTGAGAACGCCAGGGATTATCCCATAGTACAACGAATGAACCCTAGGTACTACAGATAATGTCATAATACTAGAAATCACCTCAGCGCACCGCAGAACAACCGGAGGATTTACTGTGACCACATTCATGGGTGAAAACACTTAGAATATAACGTAGCGGATTCCTTTTTCTTCTTTAATAATCAGAGTGCATTATGACGAGGTAAAAATAGTCTTCCATGGCTAAAAAGTCTCTGTCTGTCTCTCTTTCTCTCTCACTCACTCCGTCTGTTTCAGGTAGCCGTGGTGAGAATTATCTCAGTTTACTGACACCTTGGGAAACCCACATTTCCCTGCGTCTGCTGGTTGGAACTGTAGTACGATGATAAGATACAATAACTGGCTGGAATATTACTCTGGCTTGGGTCTGTCTACTAAGATTTGTTTGAGTTTTCCGCATATTACTTACTCATATAAAAGATTGTTACATTAAACTATGTAACTAGCTTAGCGAGAAAGTTTCTTGTTAAAAGTGAATGAATTTTGGGGTTCAGCTCCCAGGATGATTATGAGCGTCTCTTTCCTCTACCACTCACAGGATGGGTATGCGGGGCTTAATAAGTTAAGTAAACTAACTGTTGGTCTGACTGTGTCAGTGTGTGTGCTCACCTCATTGTGCTGATCCTGCTGGAAATTTAGTTCATTGTCCTGCTTCTGCTGGACAGGTTCCGCTGTCTATTGGGGCCTTGTTATATATGTATATATATATATATATATATATATATATATATATATATATATATATATATATATATATATATATATATATATATATATATATATATATATATATATATATATATATATATATATATATATATATATATATATATATATATATATATATATATATATATATATATATATTATTAAATATGACCGAAAAAGTAAGATTAATAATTCTAACACGAATTTTCTCAATCTTTCGTACATTTCTTTTCACTGTTGGAGGTAATTCAAAAATCAATTCTCCAAAATTCATTTTTATTTCTAGTCTGACGCGACACGAGCGTGTCTCGTAAAACTTATTACATTTTCAAAGACTTTAGTTTACAAATACAAAACTGAATAGAACTTACGCATCTCCGATTTTGTTTATATCTACATTTGAGTGAGGTGGATGGGGTGAGGTGGCTTTAATAGGATATTAATTTCATC